TATATATATATACATACACACACACACACACACACACACACATATATATATATATATACTTATACTTGAGTGCATACACACACATTTTACAAGTTAGGTTACTCAAGGAAATTCAATATGAAGAAATTGAGCTTCACTCATTCTCATCCCTGCTTATTCCCAGCAGAGGGAACTTCCCTAAGACTTATCAGTCCAGGAATACAGTGGCTGTTAGGAGTCATTGAGTGGTTCCAACCTAGAGCCACCTCACCCCACCCCCGCAAAGCAGCACAAAGCACTGCCCTGTCCTGCGCCTGTCTCACAGTTGTTCCTATGAATACAGAGGCCTTTAAAAATCAGTCTACAAACATTGTATGACAAACAAAAATCTAAACTTTCCTATTAACCAATCCCAAGGTTACCATTTATTTGCTATAAAGCAGATGTTGTGGTAACTGGGCAACACACTTGATTAGCTGAATGCTGGGCTGCCAAAGCTCTGTTAGCTCTCAGTAATTCCAATCATATCATTTACACTTTCTGTAGATTCAAAATGGCACTATTTTCTAGGAGGAAAGGGAAAACTTTTTTTTCCAGGGCAGCATTCTATTCCCTAAACCCTAAAACATGAACATTTTACATTTTCTTTCATTATCTCAAAAATACTGAGACTTGAGTGTTAATTACATTTACATTTGTTACATGCCCGTGAGGGTGTCATTGTAAGCTAATTTATTATAATAAAAAAATTAAAAACAACAAAATCCCACTGCTTCACAATGAAGAAACACTATAGCCCAGTTTTGTTCATCAAAAGGCATGATAACTGCAACATAATTACCTGGGCTGGGAATCTGGTCTCGATATTTTGGAACCTCATCATTCAGAGTCTGAAGCATGACCCACATTGTGAAGGAGAAGAGAGCAGCCAAGAACCCATAGAAGACTAGGTAGAAGAGCAAGATCAAACCTGTAAAAGAGATACACTTGATTAAGTTTGGAAACATGCACGCGCGCACGCACACACACATACGCATGAGTGTGTACATGCACACTCATGCAACATGTGGGGAGGAGGCTTTAAAAACAAACCAACCATCCAAGGCTATGATTCCAAGCTTCGCCATGCACATAGTCAAATATCCCTCTATCCCGGACACAGAAATTCGCCCAGGCAAAGGGGTATTTGAGCAGGCAGCACATCACATCCACCATGATCCCCTCTTCTCCTCTGACATTTCAAAGAACAAGCAGCTTCCACAGTTCCCACTCTGGTTCAAAGTGAGAGCCTCACATCTTAGCATACAGGGCAGTGTCCCAAATGAAGCAGACGCCCTCTAGAGAGAGCAAGCGGTTTTAGATGGGATCAAAACCCCAATATTTTAGGATCGTACTTCAGAGGCGGTACTTATTGACAGAAATTTGAAGTCTTAAAAAGTGAGCTGATTTAAAGAATATCAGGAAATATGTAGATGGGGCAAACACCATGAAGATGGCATTCAATCTATTAAGTGTAGGCAATATAGTTAAGTGGAAGGCTCATGCAAATGTGAAGAGCAGACAAGACCAGAACAAGCACCCAGAGGAGCGTCACAGCTGCTTCACAATTTGGAAACGCTAAGACAGCTCAGTTCCTGAGCCAACAATTTATTTTGGAAACACCTAAAAAATCGTTTTGTCAAACAATTATAGTCACAATTCTAACATCAGAATGATCACCATCAGGATTATATGAGTATATTAAAATGTATTGTTAAAACCACTCATTTGTATTTAAATGCTTAAAATTAATCAAAGGATATTTTTTAAAATCCCCAGCCAGATACAGGAGGGTAGAAAATTAAGTCCCCAGAGTTGGTTTTGGAAGAAATGGTATTCACTTCATTTTCCAATCACATTAATCTCCTTGTGGGCCCGACTAGTCCTAGTACAGAGGTTAAGTGCTGGGGTTTCTGACTTGGAATCCATGAACCTGTGTCCTCCACCAAGGATTTGCGCTTAATGGTTTCTAAGGTTCATGGTGTCATTTCTGTAATGTACCCAATTTCCCCCAGATGAGTGGCTCCACAACCTTCTTCCAATTCCATGACCCGCAAACAGATTGTGCCAGGAGCTGGATAACCTTTTATTTCTCATTCCCATGCCTAGAAGCCACACCCTGCACCTACCTTCTTCCCCAAGTAAAGAGCAAACAGTTAAGGCAATCTCAGTTTATATTAGCACCCCATTGCCCAATTACCAGGAGGTCAAACCAAGGAGAGGAGAGAAAGGAAGGCAGGATATGTCACCTTCATACAGCATCACTTCCCTACCACAGACTGCAATCCCGCTGCAGAAAAAGAAAAGGAAGAGCAGTCTCAAAGTGGCCCGTATACTACAAAAGGAAATGAAAACACACACACACACACACAGCCAACAGGCCAGTTAATGATACACAGGACAGAAGAGAGTTTTTAAGAGTTAGCTACTTGTATGAACCAATAGATAAAATCCTCTATGAAAGGGTAGACCAGAAGTTGGCAAACATGAACCTAGAGTGTGGCTGTGATAAAGCAGTAAATAACATTAAGTGATAACAAAGGAGTGTAGGAAAAAAGCAATAAAGGATTAATCATTTAAAAATATTTAGTCTCATTTATATTATTTTCATTTTAAATTTTAAATTCTTAAGTAAAAACAACAAAGATATAGCAGAAATGAATACAGCATGCACTGTTCAGCATCCTTAAAAACAACCCACCAACCAAATTCACTGCCACCGAGTCGTTTCTGACCCATAAAGACCCTATACGACAGGGTAGAGATGCCCCTGTGGGTTTCTGAGACTGTAACTCTTTATGGGAGTAGAAAGCTTCCTCTTTCTTGAAGTTGCTGGTGGTTCTGAACTGCTGACTTTGTGGTTAGCAGCCCAATGTATAATCACTACTCCACCAGGGCTCCTGAAATACCGTAGTTACTTTATCGAAAGAAGGAAAACCTTCAGACTCTCTAGAAAACGACACTGAAACATTAGTGATTTCTAGCACTGAAGCAAGTTTATCTTATTTGAACAAAATTCTTCTGCCATGAGCCAAACCTTATATTAAGAATTAATCTCTCTAGCAAATATTGTAAGAAATACTCCCCCCAAGGGGGGGGGCAGAGTGAAAAATGTTATCTATACACACACTCCCAGAAAATAAAGAAGCTAGAAATCACTGCTCTAATCAAGGAATATATTTGCATTTACTCAGATGCAGCTTGCTGGCAGACTTAATGTTAGAAAGGAATCAAATTCGGGGTGGGGGCCGGTGGGCCATATGGGGTTAATACATGTGGAAACTAATGTGCCATTGTCAGCCAGAGAGCTGCTTAGCATATGCAGGAAACAAAAAGAACTGGAATAATGCTTATCTTGTTGTTCATGTCCCTCAAATTTAAAATCATCCAATGATTTCCTTAAATCATTAGTTAATGAAACCAACATCAATTTAAACATTAGTATTTTTTCATGGTTAAGATTGACATAATCAAACTCAAAATATATCATCTGCATTTCTGAATCATCACATTGTCCATCTAACATTACAGAAGCAGCAAAAATCCCACAACAAAGTTGCTGCTTTCCTCTCACTCTGAGATCACTCTGGGAACACATTAGAGGAAACTAACAAATGAGTAAAAAAATGCCTGCTCCTCACCCAAATGTGACTGTGACCTTCTTCCTCCTTCCATTTCTACCCTTGAAGTCCCTTTTCTCCCCCTCTTTGGTTTTTGCTGTGAGGAAAGGTAGAGGAGTGGAGGCAGTGGAGGTAGACCCCAGTGGAGGCAGGCAAAGCAAAGTGGTCGTGGGTGGGGTCTCCCACACACTCACATAGGTTAAGACATTTCGGCTCAAATCTTGGCCTTTTTGCTGTGACTTTGGTTAAATTCCTAATCTCTACCCCCATCTGGAAAAAACATTACAGAACAAAAAATTGAGGCTCAATAGATTCTGACCACATAAAATCAACAGACCAGCAACAAAACTATAAATATTTTTTTGGAATAATATTTTAACTAGGTTCCAGGGTTCAACTTAAAATTAATCTAAAGGGTTCAATCTAAAACAAACCTAATCAAATGCACTTTACTTAAAAGAAAAAAATTCATTAAATGAGGTTTGATCTATGAAATATGCATAGAAAATCTGGCTACAGTTCCCGTCATTCACGAAAGAGACATAGACTGAGTATACTGAATCTGGGCACAGGTAGAAGTCATTATGACTTGGGGTGGGGGTACAATTCAGCTATCCTTAGCAGGAAAAGAAAATAAAGGGGTTTGGCAAAGGTCTTCCCCTAAAATGATGAGTTGGCCCACCGAAGATGATGACTAGGAAGTGATTTTGGGTCACAAGCAGACAGTTACACAACAGGATGGCCTTGTTCCCACCCCCAGTACACACATGGCCTTGGGGCCAAGGCAGCAGCACTATGGTGACTACGGTGATATAGTATGAGAACAAGTGACTGGCCCATGTCAAGAATGAGTTGGTAAAAACCTACAGAGCCAGACAGCTCCTACCTACACCAGCTTCGGGCTACAAATGTTACACCCTTAAGCGGTAATAAAAAAAAAACAAACTCACTGCCATCCAGTCAATGCCAACTCACAGAACTCTACAGGACAGGGTGGAACTGCTCTGAGTTTCCAAGAGGATAACTCACTCCAGGAGTAGAAAGCCCCAGTGGTTCTGAGCTACTGACTTAGCAGTTAGCAGCCCACAGTAAGCATTATGCCACCAGGGCTCCTAGGGGGTAATAGGAAAATTTAAATACAAAGAGGAAAACTACACAACCAAGAATTCATCAAACATTTGAAAGAACTATCCCATGAAAGCATCAAATTCAGCCAAGAAAGCTACACCTGAAAAAATTGGGTTGTAACAGTAAACGCAATAAGACTCTAAGCAAACATTTAAGTATAATTAAAATATAAACATAATATCAATGAATATGAAATGGAGAAGAGTTATGGAAAACAAAAACAACCTGACATCTAAGAAAATGACCAACAACCTTACAAGGGCCTATTGTTAAATTTTCAGGCATTCTGTAAACTGCTTGTTAAAGACTGCCATTTCAAAAATTAAACTATACAAACATTATTAAATGAATTATTTTTTAAGGAAAGAAATGAAAGTCAAGCCCAAAACTGGGAAGAAGCATATGCAAAATATGAGCAAGATTTGTAGCTAGACTTTGGAAACAGGCAATGTCTAGAAAAATTAAACCCACACCTACTATAAGACCCAGCCAATTTATTCCTAGAAATTTACTCAGGAAAAACAAAACCACATGGCTCACAAGGGGAAATGTACATGAATGTCCACAGCAGCTTTTCTGATAAACAGCAGTTGTTGGGGGTTTTCTTGGGGGGCAAGCATTAAAACTTTAAACAACCCTCATATCCACCAACAAGTGAATATGTTGGTGGATATGAGGGTTCTCTTCTGCTTCCCCTTAGTTCTAATGGACCAAGTAGACCATCTCATCCAGTGCACTGATATGCCTGCTCTATCTCCAGGCCCGTTCCTGCCACTTGGAAGGTAAAAGGAAAGAACACATCCCACCTACACTGTCACCGGCATCCCATGGCCAGAATGGAGTCAGACAACAAACCCAGCTACAAAAGGAAGCTGCAGACTATAGTCTTTGTTCTTGGAAACCATTTGCAATTCTAAACTTTGGCCAACCTACTACTGAGTAAATAGGAGATAACATGAAAAGATACATAAAACTATCTGGTATATCCATACTATGGAATACTGTTAAGCAAGCAATAAAAACTACTGATGATAAACCAAGAACGAATCCAAAAATACTTATGCTGAGTGATCAAAATCTTGTGTCGAGATTGGAAAAGTTGAAAAATATTAAGATTGGGGGCAATTCAACCATGGGGAGAAGAAATACTCTCAGATGGATATGGTGGTGATTGTACAATTCCCCCTTGATATAATTAAATGACTGAACTATTCAGTTGTATGATATATAAATTATGGGTCAATAAAACTCTTGGATTTTTTTTTTTAAATCACACACATGAAAAATATTAGAAAATATTCTACTTCTAGACGCAAAATGGTGGAATTTCAGAATACCAAAGAGAGAGGAAAAAAGATTCTAGATAAATAAAACAGGTTACTGAAATAAAGGAAAGTGACTTAAAAAAAAAGAAAAATGACTGACTGCAGATCTTTCTTTCACTGGTTAAAATAGACAGTCTTCTAAATTGAGGGAGAAATAACTAAAAAACTGATCAACCAAGAAACAAAATATTTCCAAACACATAAGGGCTGAAATCCAACTTAAAGAAATGCTCTTATGAGACGCATGCGCGCGCGCGCGCACACACACACACACAAAATAGCGTTCAAAGTGTTCAAAGAGGACAAGGAAAAAGAAAAAAAAAAGAAAAAGAGGACAAAACTATAAACAGGTGTAAAAGGAACAGAATAGTGAATTACCCTGAGAGACAAAAAGTAGCCTTCGAATGATAAAATTAAAACACATAAAAATTAGAAATTCACCAAATTCTATCTATAGAAGACAAACAAACAAAAAGAAACAAAAAACAAGACCACAATATTTGAAGATAAACAGATGGAAAAATAAAGTAGACTGGCTAACCAATGTAGACGTGGCAGTATTACTGTAAGCAAAAACTAGAATTCATCAAGTTAAGAAAGCATCACAGGGTGAAGACATTTTGTACTGAAATAAACAAACAAAACATGAATAAAGTACAGCACAGGAACCTTGAACCTTTGTGATGCCCAGTGGCTTCAATGAAAAAGCAGTATCACAAAATTTACTATCATCACAAATCTAATACCAGGATCTCCAATCTGGTAAGGATGTTTAATGAATAGTAGTATTTTTAAAACTGAAAGAAAATGGTACTGTTACCTACTGTTGGTGGGAATGTAAATTGGTACAGCCTCTTGAGGACAATCTACTACAAATAAAAACAAACTGACAATCCCTTTCTTCTCAATAGCTACCCTAGATCAGGGTGGTTGTACATGCGAGGGAAAACCCCATGAGATAGTTTATTGTGCCAGCCTGGCCCATAAACACAAGTGGGATTAACTGAAGGGCAGAGAGATAAATGGCTTGGTGAGCCTTGCCTTTCTTGTCTCTCGCTCTTTGATCATCAGACCAG